AACTTAGGAGACAATGACTAGTAGCAACTCAGGAGATGTTATGCTATTTCTTACCCAATAAAAATCCAAAATCTTCTTGCACTACAGAATCACTCATATTGCTAGGAATAGCACAGAAGGTTGGGGAAAAAAATAGATTTCTGATTTATCATATACATTATCTGAGCAAAGAAAGAATCAAACCAAGAATTTCTTGAGGTCATTCTAACATTGTCTTTCAAGAGCCATGGTAACTAGAAGTGAATCAATATCACCTTTTATGAGAGATGCAACAAGTACCAGTTCCCAGAAAAAAAAATTATTCTGCAGTTAATTTTGTTTTATAGGGAGTTGCCATTTCTTTTTAATGAATACACCTCATGCACAGTGAAAAATATGGGAATTCAACTTTCTTTCCATGAAGAGTAAGATATTTTATCTTTGCTTATAAGATTCCATTGTTTTGTAGTATGTGGATGAACTAGGAATGATTCCTTAATAGTTCTGAAGAGATCTCAGAAGTAATAATCTTCAAGAGGAACAGCACATCACACTAAGACATAGCTGATAAAACACAGAGGATGCTGGGGAGTCCATTGCAATAAGCAGCTACACTTGATCATAATGACAATGGGGATGTGAAAACTGTCTTTCATTCTGTCAAATGGAATGAAAGATACCAACAATCTGATGATGTGGCAAAGCCCTTGGCAGTTTAATGATCCAAATTACATTATGGCTTACTCATTTTGTGAAATAAATTCATAGGACAATACAAAAAGATATAGAACTCCAGAGATAATTGTTAAAGGCTCAACATTTATGTGGTACCAAGGTTTAACAACTTTATCTGATTGCTCAGTTATTTAAAAGGGACATAGAGTGGCTGAACAGAGACTCCACAATAAATACTCATTTTTTTACAACTCCCCGATTTTCTGAAGCTTAACAAAGTTAAAAGATTAGGTATCAGTATTGCAGGCTGCATAGCAGCTGTGTAAATTCAATTTTTTAACACACAGAGACAGATGTATGAGCTGGCTAAATTTTACTGCGGATATAGGATGGCTGTGTAATGTCAATTAGGAGAGGGTGATTAAAAATTCCAGAAGATCTGTTTTGGAAAAGATGACTAAGTGTAAGTTTCTCTGTATTAGAAATTAAAAAGGACATTTTAATCCTACCAGATATCTTTCCAACTTTGTGATTACAAACTTGAGCCCTAACAGAAGAATGTGGTATGATGTTGCAGATATACATTTTTTCCTGATGTTGGAACTAATCTTTCTTTTGTTAATCTGATCTGATAAGGATTAAATGAAAAATTAATAAGGATAACATTAAGATTTGTAAATCAGAAATACTTAGAAACATTTTTATAAATCTGTTTCAAATAGAATAAAAATATTTTGTGTCAACATCCTGAAAAAGAAAGTCAACCCAGCCCTCACTCTTCCAGCAAGAAATGTCACTGTTCTTTGGATGACACAATTGTGAATCAGTGGCATTTGTGTCTTTGGGAAAATAAAGGAAATTCATGTTTCCTGGAAGTTTATCTTAATGAATTGACCTAATGGGTAGAAAAATTATTACTTTTTTTTTTTTTTTTTAAATTTTGTGGGGCAGAGTTTCTTCATATGTGAATAATGTAAAAATATCGCAACCGAAAGTAGTTTTCACTTTATCTAACTCTTCCTATAAAGTCTCTACAAAAGTAGATGATGTTAATGTCAAGGTCCAAGTTGTGTTGTCAGGTTTCAAAAGGCAAGTTTCCTGCTCCACCCAGGTACACAGTCAACATTACATTCTTCACACTCATTGGAATTAAGAGCTGTGATTTATACCATGCAGACATCTGAGTCTCTGAACATCAATGTATTGGCTCATCCTTACCTCCACAAAAGCCTAAGAAATACAAAGTGGAGAAAGAAAAGACAAACAAACTGGCAAAACCCCAACACCTTAATGTCAACTGAGAACATTTCTCCAATGCTAATGAAGGCTGCACACATTCTTCTGACCCCAGACTTCACAGACCCTCGACATGCAAAGAATCTCTAAAAAAATGATTTCTCTCTCTCTCTGGCAAGATGCATACCACCCAACCCTGTCATAAATCTGCCATAGCAATTGTGCCTCCATCTTCCCAACATCTCTGGTTTTTTGAGCTGGCAGCTGTTGACATGATACAGCCTACCGAGTGGCTCGTGCCAACAGAGAAGGTTACACGAGAGCTCTGCGAGCCACAACAACTCCTCATTCAGTTCTGATTCCACTCCAATTTTGTACAATGGATTTATAAAGCTTCTAACAGGCTAAAGGTCACAGAAGCCAAATATTGCCACCTTCTCCTTTGCCTCACAGGTGACACCAAAGTCCAATGTCAGACTGCAAGAAAATCAGCCTCTTCTGTGACCCTCCACAAGCTCTGCACTTCACAGAAGAAAGTGGCTGAGAGAAAACCCAGTTCCCACAATTTCTAGGTGATATCACAACACTCATGTTTTGCCAAAGCCTTCCCAAAAGCAGAAGAAAATCAGCAGCATGACTTGAGTTTGCAGCTGTTACTGAACTAATGACTTGGCTGGAGTATCAGATGCAGCTAAGAGGCAGATTTTAATGTTCTGTGTGTGCTACACATGCTGCAGCTCTATTGTTATGGTTCTTGCTGTAGAAATGCCAGAAACAGTGGTGAAATCAGATATCCTGAACATGCTCCTCCTGGATATCAAATTCTCCTTGTGCTCTGCACCACTTCTCCTGACTCAAACAGGGGAGTACCCAAGACTCCATGCTCCCCTCAGTCCTGGATCCTGTCCTTCCCAAAGTTTTGAAACTTAGGTCTTCTAAACACATCTAAAGCCTCCAACTCATGTACACCATCTCTTCTGAAACTTGTTTTCCCACCTTAATTGCAGTAGCCATCAGCAATTCCACTTTGACACCTCCTCACTGGTAGCACATAAATAAAATATCTCTGACTCCTACTCTACTGGAAAATATCTGTTACATTCTTTTGCTAATTTAGTAAAGTGGATGTTGTGGTCACTGTGACCAGAACCCCCAGCCCTTGGTCTGCAGTGGGATCAGAGCTTAGATTACAACAGCAGTGTGGCTGTCTCACATCTGGGCAGAGGGTCCCTGAGCATCCTGCCTGTCCATGGTGCTGGGCAGCAGTCACTCCTCCCTCTGGCTGGATCCAAAGGTGCCTCTAGCTGCTTGCCTTTCATTGCACCCAGCTGTCCCTGCCAGGGACCCCTCATTCCACCCCATCCTGCCTGCCTGGCATACCCACCATATGTTTCCCTCCTGACCAGCTTGGCTTAGCCCCGTGCCCTCTCCCTGGGAACATGCACTTCCTCATTCAACCTTAACACCTACTTGTGCCAGGGCTCCCACTGACTCTGCTCCCTCTCCCTCAGCAGGACTCACATCACTGATCTTTCCAGAACCAGTCCATGTGCTGTACCTGAGTTTAATTTCCCTCCTTAACCCAGCCTGCTTGTGCTCCAAAGGCAGAGCCAACCCCACACACAGTGATTTTCCCAGGCACAGCTGTACCATGTGAGTAACTTCAGCAGATTTTAAAACACAGAAGCTCAAAAGCATTCTACTGTTTGTCACAGAAACTGCAAAAGAGCAGTACAGATGTACAGAGCAACCCTGATCAAAAATGCACTGGAGGGAAAGGGGAGAAGGATGAGAAAGGGAGAAAAGATGGGATGGGATGGGATAGGCAGGGATATGTAGTACTCCTTTTAACAGTTATACAAAGAGAAATAAAGGGGAAAGGCAAAAAAAGGAAAATATTTAAACTTGGCAAGACAGAACTTTTTTCAGTAATAGAAAATGAGTATTTAAAACTCCTTGCAACTAATGAGTGAATTATTTCATCTTATATGAAACTGCCATTTAGTCATATTCTCATCTCATTCTATGAAGATACACAAAAGTGAGTCCCTGAGCATAGAAAGGGGAACTCACAGCATAGTCTGGCCAGATTTGTGCTTGTGCAGATGCAGCAGGAGGACCCTTCAGACAACCCCACTGTCCCTTTCCTGATACTCTTTCACAGTGGGCAATGAACCACCAACCACTGGGCTTTAGGCCTTCACAATGTTGAGGTGGGGGGACCTTTGGGGTTACAGCAGGAGCGACTTCTACACAGTAGCAGGGCAAAATCATGGGATCACAGAACAGTTTGGGTTGGAAGGGACCTTGATATCCTCGAGTTCTAACTCTTCCACCACGGGAAGGGATGCCATCCACTAGACCAGGTTGCCAATTTGCCAAAATTGCTTACAGATGATAGGTATGTCAATTAGTCAAGTACTACTGCAACTTGAGAAACATAGATTAGAGCTGATGGGTTACATACTATTTTCCAGCTGTAGTGCAGCTCACTGCTATTATTTGCTTGTAACAAACATCTGTTCCAAGATGAAAGCACCAACAAATGCCTCAATGTCTCCAAAATAACAAGAGGTTAGTTTGTTAAACATTTAGTATAAGTAAACAAATATAGGCTTCATGCAAGACAGATCTGAGCATGGACTGATTATTCTATCATAGCATTGCTAACTAGCATTACTCACTACTGTGCATGAAAACTTAAAACCCAAGAAAATTCTCAGAGGTATTTTTCTAGGTAAAACATGTTATACGAAGGTCAGTTTTCTCAGAGGCTCCTATTTTTAGAAATAAAACTGAACTCAGAAGAAGGGAAGCATTTAAACAGTGTCATGACAATATGGTTTATTCAATTATTAACTAGCTGGTTTATTTTTAATTGCTCATGTACCTCTTCAAACTCAGCCTAGGTCAGCCATGAAGGAAAGAAGCTACCAGACGGCTGGCAGCTGCACAGCCTGCACAGGATGGACATGGTTCTCACAGCCAGTGGGTGGGGGCTCAGATCAGGGACGACATTACCACAGATGGCACAGCTGGGTGCCCGTGACTGGCCTCCCTGTCACTCACAGCAGAGTGGCCGAGGGCGTGTTTCTGAACTACTCTCTTACCCCTAAAGGTGGTCTCTCCAGGTCAGGGCTGAGGCACAATGGTGGGGCAATGAGGGGAAGTTTGCACTGCTGCTGCCCATGCTGTATCTGCTCTACAAATAAATAGAGGACTTTAGTCTCCAGGGCCGTCAGTTTGGCACCTTCCATGTGCACAAAAGACACATTTGTTTGCTCTTTTATTTGCTTAGAAACAACCACCCAAAAAGTTATATGCAAAGCTTAGTATGGAGAATCAATGTAAATCAAATTTATTGTATGAGAGCACCTAAAATCCCACAACTTTCACTCACTCTCTCTCTTTCTTTTGTGTTTTCTACTTTTAATTGTGATAAGAATAAAAGTTATGGACCTCTTTCGGTGTTTCTTGATGACAACGGTTGCTGTTCCACCACAATTCCAATGCTGCCACCAAGCAAGCAAGAAGAAGGCCTATTGCTAAAATGCAGAAAACGCCTGCAAAACTGTGAAGCTTGAGTGCCTTCCCATCTGTCTGTGCATTGGTATGGCTATTCAGGTCACAGCGTCCCATCCGTGGCCACCATTTCTGTTTAAGAACATCCAAATCTCCACTTTCTTGCAACTCTAGGATCCTGCAGAAATTTCAAAAGACAAGTATTATTTTCAATTATACCTTTTCACAGTTTTTTTATCTTTTCTTTATGCTGCACAACTCCTAAATCTATCATCCCACAGCTCAAAGCTCCACCCCCCCCCACCACCACAGTGTTTTATTTTTCATCTGAAACTCCACTATACCAAGACTTCTTTCTACTCACAGCAGCAGGTAAACTCCACTGGGTAACTTCAGAAAAAAAAGAGACTGTCAAAAATTCCACTGCAATGCAAACAGCATTTCCAAGGGAAATCACCAGTTAGTCATGCCTGGTCTGGCTACATTCAGCTGCAACAGCTGGTCCCACTAGTGAAATGCTCAACCCACTCCACTGCTGCTCTTCCACAATAATTTCAAAATCATGGGAGGCTAAACATGCTACTGTTTGTGCACCACTTAATACAAATCTATTTAAGCAGCAACCAACTCATTTACTTCAGCAAATGTACTTTATTCAAAAGGATTTTACTTCAGTGCTGTTACTTAATGCCTGAATTACTGTGTTAACAGTTGCTAATTAATCATTGTTTTGTCTCTTGTGAAGTGTCCCTTCTCTGCATGAATGATTCATTTTGGATTTGGTTTGATAACTGTTTTAGCTGTTTACTAACAATCTGTTCTCTTGAGGCAGCTTTGTCTCTAGTTACGCAGCTGGAGTTTTGCTTCTTTTTATAAAGAAGGAGCAGAATGAGGAAATCTTGCTTCAGTTCCCTGCCTGGAGGGGAGCACCAGCTCACCTTTTCCTAAGGCCACACATGCCTGCACCACTGCATGTCTTCGTTTCAGTGTACACATTCATATGAAAAACATATTCATCGCTCCTTTGTGCCAGAGGCAGCACTGCATGAAGGTGTGAGGCCACACATCAACACATCACCTCCATCCCTCCTCCCAAACCAGATCCACATGGAGCAGAAGTAGCAGCTTTGTTGCAGCCTGAACTCAACCTCTCTGCTGTCATTAATGTGAACCACAAATGGTTGCTGGCTATAGAGAGGAATCCTATAAAACGAGCTTTGTTTCAGTTTACCTCTGGGAGAAAAGATCTCTGTAGGGACTTCCATGCTGGAGTGCTATCCCGTATCCTTTGCTGCTGATGCTGTTTCCTATGACTGTCACAGAGCATTCGTCATCTGTCAGCGCCGCGTATTCCACCACTGTCACATCCCACAGGAAAGCATAATTTCCTTTCTTGGCCTGTAAATGCAGCATGAACACAGCACAATCTAAACTAAACTGAATTCCTAGGTAGGACAAAACCCAAGCCAGCAAAAGAATCCAGATCTTGTAATTATTCCTTGGTGGTATTTCATTAGGTCACAAGTTATCTGTAGACCTCCAACATCTTAATATATTTCTGACACTCTTCCCTCTCAGCAGTACCTCATCTACTTCAAACATTGCTAAAATATCTTCCTTTTTTAATAGGAATACATAGGATAACATAGCCAACTTTAGATATAAGTAAAGTTTATGTAACAGGTTATTCATTATAAATCAGAGCTATTACTCTAGATGATGGGATTTTATGTATGTTTTGCAGGAGAATGGAATGTGCTGGTTCCATACATTCGTGTAACAAGACAGGCACAGTATGAGCACTAAGTGATGTTTCCTAGTCATCACAGTCACCAAAATTGTAACTTTGTAGCTTTGCTGATATAAACACGTAAATAAAACACATTTCCCTTCCAAATAAACAAAGTCTTTCTAAGAGTTATGTTAGTCCTGTAATGAAACGCATGCTCTGATTTTAAAGAGTTTCCTCTTTTCTTCACAGGTAAGAAGATTCACAAGAATCTCCCATTATCTCAGTTTTGGGATAAATATTGTTTTATTTTAACACACACCCATGCAGATGCCCTTAAACATCAGACTTAATTGGGACTGAAACCAATGCCTGCACATGGGGCATACAGTGAATGTAAATCACTGTACTTAACACAAGAAGAAAGAAACATCTCTGGATAGTGATTCAACAAAGCAAAAATAATAATCATTTTCTTGGTCAAAGTAATTATTGGTTTCTTAATATATTAAAGCAGTAAGTTTTTAAGTCCCTAGTGAACGACAGAACAGATGGGCTGGAACATCTAAGGTAATAAATGTGTACACTTTTTTTTTTTTTTTTTTTTTTAAACTTTGAGTGATTTCAGATCCTTTTTTAGGTCAGATCAAAACAAAATAGTGAGCTGAACTCCTGTATATATTTCTTTCTGTGAACTGATTTACCAAGCTCCCTTAGCAAATGGCTGAAGTTCTGACAGTATTATTTCATTCCTCTGCATACTTTCAATTTCTGTGTAAGCTTATTTTTAAATTCACCTGTAAGTTTGTAAGACTCTGTTAGATGTTTTATTATATTGGATTCCTCAGTTGAGCAATTAAGATAATTTTAATTCACCATGCTTTGATAAAAACCATAGGTTTCTGAAGTCCCTTGCAGTTGCTTACACATGAGAATAAATCAAATGAGTGAGTTATCCCCTAGTGGGTAGAATCTAGGGAAACAAAGATTAAAATTATTTTTCCCGGATTTTCTGTAAGCTACTTGCCACAATCTACCTCTTTTCCCACCTTCCCTTTTATCAACATCAAGGCAATTAAAGACCCACAAATTCATTTGCTTCTGAGTTAAAACAAAGTAGAAATGTTCCTCTTTGGTAAGTTTTAAAGAAGCCTATATACTGATCCCTTTGAAAATACTATTTTTGTTAAGGGCATGCTACTATTGTGAGTTTGTTCCCACTTTCTCCTTTGCCATCTCGCTTGGTCAGTTCAGAGTAACAGTCAATGATTCACACAGCCCCAAACAGCAATTGATATCCTAGTAAAACATGAACTACAGTAGGAAGTAACTCCTATTACAGGAGTTATTCAAACAGGAGCCCCACTCTACTATTAGAATCACACATTGATTTAGCTGACACGACTTGTTAAACCAGCATGTTCATAAAAATATGTTGCACTTTAATATCATTGTATGAAACCAGATCAGAGCAAGACTTCCACACTTGCATTGCAATACTCCACCTGGCTGTTTACCTAATCTGGTAATGGTGGCATAAAGGAGGAAAGAACAAAAAAATCACTTTTACTATAAGCAAACACCAGAAAAGGCTTCAAAACCTGCCAACACAGCGATGTGTACAAAATTCAGAATGGAAAGAAAGTGCATTTGGCCTACATTCCTACATTCCATCAGCAACCTGTGTTCTTGGAACCCTAAAAGATACTCTTCAAAGGTATTTTCTGAGTGACCACGTAGCTAATTAACTGGGGTTTTAGCTGTAAATCTCTGCATCTTCCTCTCTGCCCTTCCTGTGAGGGAGTTCAACGTTTCCCATTTTACACTTTGACAGCTGTGATGGTGCTGATAAACCTCCTACCTGGTGAGGGACCAGAGGCAATGGCCATCAGTCCCACTAGCCATCCTGGCAGGGAAGGACCAGCAAAGGCCCTGGTTTTGCACATCTCAGTCAGGTTTTGATCTGTGGTAAATAGTACATAGGCTTTTGATACCTACGACAGGAAACTGCAAGTTCAGGTGCATTAAAAATATGCACTCATGGGAACAAAGACAACAGCACTTGTTACCGTGCACAGAATTTATTCAAAATCCATGCTATCCGAGAACAAAATTTCGCCTGATGGATATAAAGAAATCGGACACCCAGAGAAGATTTGGCCTAAGTTGCTGTGCTAAAATGTGTCTTGTATTTCTGTAGGGGATGTTTTGGTTGCTTGTTTGGGTTTTGTTGTTGTTGTTGTTTTGTATGTTCATTTGCTTTAAGGAATTGTATCTATCTTCTGTTCTTTCAGAATTGGTCTGTAAATTTGCTTTTCAAATTTACAGTTTGGAAAAGAACAACACTGACAACATATAATACGTTCCTCACCTGTTTCTTAGTAATACTTGAGGAACACAATCTTCCTCACATATTCGATTTCTGTCATAATGCAATGACTACAAGAAAATCACATTATTGATTCTACTTTTCAAGGCTCAGTTTTCTGTGTGTTATTTTATATAGAGGAGTTTTGTACACTGACTTTCAATGCTGGACAGCAGATCTTTTGTAAAGATCTGCTTAACTTTTGTTTGCAGTGTTGCTATCTCAAATTACATCCTACAAGTGCAAGTGGTCAATAAAAAAGTCTACCAGGTCTCTTCACATCTATTTTATATATTTTTTTAATTACATTAATCATTCTATCCAATATCATCACATTATTTCTCTGACAGCCTGATCATTTTAGCATAAACAGGAATCTGAGTTTTAAACTCTTAGCTGTGCATACGTCTCATCTCCCAGAAATACTGGGTGTAAGACTGCTCCCCCTGTCCAATGCCAAAAGCAGATTCTCTGAAGATCCCTTTTTCTTAAGGAGAGATTTGTTTCTTCCAAAACTTCTTCCACATGCTCAATTTTCTTCTCTGAAGAGTGGAGACCTCATACTATTAGTGTGTTCATTGTGTGGAAAGTTTTCTTGTAACAAAATGCTTAGTTGCTATCTAAATTCAGCATCCTTCCCTTCCCTGTTAATATCTGTTGTGACAGCTAAGCAGTATCATTTGTTCAATTTAAAGAAAAGCTGTCAAACTACAAAAAAATATGTGCAAGACACACAACTGCACACATACATGTGTGCTTGAAGAATGTTTAATTTTTACATACCTTCACTAGGCAAGTGGTAAAAGCCAAATAAAATCAAATTGACACTTATTTTCAAAGAAAAATCAACCCAAAATGTTTAAAGGCTGTTTAAACTTTTCATTTCTTTTTACATGAAAGTGTGCACATATGCATGCCCCTAAGCTTCCAGGCCACTGGGAAGGTAGGAAGACCTGGCACTGACCATGGGATGGACGAGCAAGGAACACAAAAGCACCCTAGTTGTGTATAACACAGATGTACCTACCCATGTAACCGAGTCCTGATCCCAATACAGCAAATATCCATATCCTCACGCTCTTGCATTCACGGCTCAGCCATCTAAAGCCTGAATTGTGTGTTTTTAGGGCCCGTAAAAATGTTTTAGTAGCGATCAGACATCATTGCAAAGATAGAATAGAGAGAGAGAGCTGGTAAAAGGGCCTGTGGCAAACACCAGCTGAGCATAGGTAAAATAGCTAGAATAAAAAATGACTGAAATTAAATACAGACTAATAAGCTAAAATTTGTACTTTAGATTTATAATTGTCTTTCGTATTTTGCTCCTTTGCTATGGCCTTATAGTGACTGCCAGCACACAAGCGTGCTGCAGAACAAAAAAATCACTTGGATAAACATTCAACATCCTTCTTATCAGAAAGCCAGACAAAGCAGCACTCATTTATTCTACCCAGGTAGAACAACTACGTTGGCTTACACCAAAGACACCAGATTCATCTTTAGTTTAAGAGATTTATGAAAACAGATTTAAGAAAAAAGACCACCCCGGGCAAAACTTGTATTAAAAAAAATGTTTCTTCTTCACAATCCTAAAAAAATTAAAAGGCCAAAGAAGATTCCTTCCAAGACGTAAGAAGGACCACATAGGAAATAATACTCCAGAAAAGCAGTAAGCAACCTCATAAAGTCACTCTTCAATGTGGAGGGAGATAGAAGACTATTGTTCAAAGGGTCCTGGCTTACTGATGGTTAATTATGTTATTTCAAATAAAGTATATAAGAAATAATAATAACATGAAAAAAAAGATTAATTCCAGATTAATTTATGAAGAAGCTATCATACTAAAGACACAAGTGCCAGAATAATGCAAAATTTGTCATTAATTTACTACCAGAACAGAGTGTCACTGTAGCTGATCCCATTACATGGCTGGTACCACAGAAATATCAAAAAGTGACCTTTACAATGGCATTAGTGGAGTAGTTCAAAAACATGCTTGGATAACATTTATTATCTATAAAAAAATGCTTTAAGAGAAGCAAAACAATTCTAATAAAAAGAAAGACATGCCATTTAATCCTGTTGAAATGTTTCCAACATTAAAATAATTAAGGAACCACTATAGGATGTAATAAATTCAGGTTTAAGGAAGCATTTGCTTTTACTTCAAATGGGTCAAGAAACAGAAATTTATGAGGGTCCATGAAAGCATATGGTTGGAGAACCCCAATTCACGATATAAAATTCATTGTGGACAATAAATTATTGGAAAAATATTTTTTAAAAGCCATATTAATTGAAGTTTTAAATTACTTTTACTCTCAAAATAAGAATGAATAGAGGTGACTGTTCAGTAAGATCAGTCTGATTTAAAGTTTGCTGTTCATTTGCAGTCAAGGGAGACTTTTTGAGGGGAGAAAAAAAGGGAAGGAATAAATTCTTACTGTGCTATTGCCTAAATCAATGATGCATTCTCATTTTGTGCTCTACTTGGCCTTGTTCACTTCTGATCAAAAGTGATACACAGGAAGAAACGAAAGGATTCAGAGCATCTTTGGCACAAAATTGATTGGACAGAGGAAGACCCTCAACCAAAGCAGGGCTTTATAAAATACAACAACAGTTTAATTCTCCTAGGTGCATATATATAGCAGATATGGCATTACATGGGTATCATATTACTTCATTCTTTCAAAGCAAAAATGGGTGCCCACAATGAAAAAAACCATAGGTTATTGCATACATTACCCTGAAAACTAATTGCCACTGGGTATGATGCAAACAGTTTGCTGAGATGTGCAAATGGCTTAGAAATGTGTGTGATTCCAGTACAAATGTCCACCTGGGATGAGATGGCAGGAGTACCTGGGGATCCTGGCTGGAGCTTGACCCAGAAAGAAACTTTCCCTGTGACCCTGTTAATCAGTCATCATCTGTTATAGTATTTCAAGTGACAAAATAGTATTTTGTATGGACTGGTGATTTGCCTGGTGACCTGCTCTAATGCTCTGCAGGGGCACTGGTGAATACGAGGACGTTTTCAATCTTCAGTGACCTCTTTCAGCTACCTTGGGAGCACAACAAAAGCAACTTGCCTCCTCTGAAACATCCTCCTGTTGCTTATGGGAGATGGTCACTGTGGCTACAAGGACTGTGCTGGGTTTGAAGAGAGACCTCTGCCTTGGCACCAAACACCTCAAAAACTCTCAGGACTTTCTTCCACTACCACCCTTTTTCTTTCAGACAGTCAAAGGGAGTAGGAAAATCTCCGTGACATGGAGGGAGATGGAATAGAGACAAACATGTGAAATACCTGCCTGCAGCACAGGCAACCAGCACTCCCCTGTTTTGCACTGAAGTGGCATTGCTCTGTCTGTAACCACAGCTGAACTGTGGTACTGTCTGAAGTGGAAAGGAGGAGAAGGGAAGAAAGGAGAGTAGTGGGTTTTTTTGGGTTGTTTGGGTGTTTTTTGCATTGTGTCAGGCAACTCCTCATTCAGAAAAGCGTTTTATGGATCTTTTTATGCTAGAGAGATTTAGATTTCCTATTTCCTATAAAATACATTTTTAAGGCACATTTACATGTCTTTCATGCAGCAGTATGTGTTTATGGATGAAACTCTCATTTCCTTGGCTGACATCAATTCTCCTTTAGAAGAAAACAGAATTTCTAGCTGTAATACTTGACATGGAAAACTTGTCTGTTTATTGAAAGAGCTCATGAGCTAGGAAGAGTGACACTTAAACTATAAACACAACAGTTTAGTTGACAATGTTATTAAATATTAATCCCCATATATGTAGGTGTCTAACCAAATAGTGGCCTTGGTCATCTTTGGAGACCGAAGTAAAATTTGATTGTTGACATTAATTGAAGGAGTTGATCTAGTCATATAAAAATCACCCTACAATATTGAAATCAAACTTCATATGAAAAGTTATTATCACATAGATAAGATGAAGCTGCCAGTTCCATACAGACAATATAATTGGTATTCTCAGCAGCCTGCCAATCTACAGTTACATTTCTGGCTTAGGAAAATCTAGCTATCATAAATGGCAGCATGCAGTAGGCTTACAGAATAAGAGTATTTACAATTTCATGGATAAAGAACATCCCCTGCCATAAGAATGGTACAAAAGAAAAAAGAAAAGTAAAATACTGTATGTTTTTCTGAGGTAAGCTGCTTTATTACTGGCTTAAATGATAGGGTACATAGAAAAGTACATAATGTCTCCATTTCTCCTTTAAATGCTACCAAAATCTCTCAAAATAGAGGTCTTATATTCATAAAGGGCTGAGTGGATCAAATAAATAATTCAATAAACACGCTGCATACCTTGCTATTGCCAGAGCTCTACCTTGAACCAAGGGAGAAAGGCCACTGGAGCTGGTGACAGAGGCCTTTAGGGAAGCTCAGCTGAGAGTTGAGTGAAAAGGCAGGGTGAACCTATGCTGAGAACACAACAGTATTTGTACAAAGGTTTTGTCCAAAAGTGATGCAAACAGTTGGGAATCTTTTGCTAAAGGATAATGAATTGGGAAGTGAGTTGGCTTGTGTTAATGTTCACCCTCCTTAAAGCGTTGTAAAAACCAGTAGATTTTGGATACTCTCCCTCTCACTGTTAAGAAAAGGTTTCAAAAATCCCAAGTAAAAAAAAAAAAAAAATGGAAGACTCAACCATATTATCCTTTCCCACTTACAAAAGCATAAAGAGCTAGTAATATATATTAATTCAGAACCAGTGTTTCACAGACAAGAGTACATCTGATCAAACATCCACTGCGCTAATAACGGCTGTTAGCTTGTTTTATGAAAAAGATAATTGACAGACAAAGAGGACACCTTTCACTAAAGAAGCAGCACATTAGCTTACAACATGTCTGCATCCCTTCTGCTCCTTGACACATGTGGTTTGATGAAAGGTTCTATCTGTTTTTCCTGAGCTTCAGGATGGGAAGTAGAGGGGAAAGAGAGGCTGTGAGAGAGAGTGGACATTTGTAACAGTCTGATCTGAACCAATACTCTTTATCACAGGACTTGGTACATTGGTGTAGGATCCCAAGCTGTTATCTATCAGTCACTGAATCTCACATCAGTGCTCAGTTTCACAAAAGAAATGTGTAGTCTTATTTGAGGGAAATAAAATGTAGGTAAAAGCATGGTGTCAGGGGAATGCATTTTTCAGTTTGCAATAAACAAAAAAAATCTTGCATTAAATATTGTTTAAGAGAAATGAGTACACATTCTGTGAATCCCCTGATTTCCACTTACATTTCCAACATGTTCAATTCATGAAAAAAATCCCCAAAAACTCAAATGAGCAAAAGGACAAAAGTCAGTACCTGGATGATGTACAGAATGACACTCAAAAAGGCATTATAAAAACTCTCAAGAAACTGAGAAACCTTATGACCAGATTCAAAGAAGGACTTACATACTGAAGACTTAAGTAGAGCTAAAGTACTTACTTCAAAGCCATGACCCCAAAATATGATTCTTATCTGCCATCAAGGTACTAAAAGAAATTCAGGGTTTTCTTAAATGACCGTAATTTCTTTCTTGGAACTTAACAATAACTCCATAGAAACAACAGTGATACAAAAATTAAATGAAAGCCCCTGTGATCCAGTCTTACCTTCCTGATGCCTTCAGAAGGGTTCGATACGCAATTATCTGCCCCATTATTCTTACTGATTGTCCTCCACAGTTCAGCAAATGTGTTATCCTGCTCCAAAGGGTTTGTCCCTTTTGCTTTAAAGTATTCATACACTGCTGAATCCCTGACTGTACCATAAGATATATCCATTTGTTTGGACAGATCTTGAAATGTTCTGAAATTCAAGTAATATTGAGATATTAGCATTATGTGCACAACAGCAAGATTTCATTAATTAAATGGTTTCTTTCTGTATCTGTCATTAATCAAAAAGCACTTACTCTCACCAAGTAACATTTGCATATCTCATTCCTTATCATAAAAGAAAACCAAGGAGTTATTTAATTGTACTGAGATCAAATGATCTTAACTATACCCAAGCTCTGCTTCTCCCCAGTGAAGATTGTGTTTTTGGACAGATAACATTCATGTTAAATATTATGCCACCAACATCACACAAGAATATAATGTGATAAACACTTACCTGAACACAAGAAAAGCTCACATTATAAACATAAGCTTCCAGCCCCATCAGCATCACCAGAAATACCTTGCAGAATTCAGTGGAATTAGTTTGCAGTTACACCAATGCTCCCTCTGACTCCAAATCAATATGATTGTTTTAAACAAACAAATAAAAGTCTCGCTTCCAATTTCCACTAAGTCTCTCTTGCTCTCCCTTTTCACAGCCTCTGGTAAAACAGGCATTTTTCATTCACACACAGGACTAACTTTCATTTACTCATCATATACCACTCTGGAAGTGTAAATAGGCCTCACCCTGAGTGGCTGTGAATGCGCAATTTATTTTCAAATTGTACAGAATGTAATTCACTCCTGTTTTACAGCCTTTTCTGCACAGAAAGGTGTAAATCACTGCCTGCATCAATGAAAACCAGACCAAGTTTCAAAACATTTAAGGTGGCATCACTGCCATCAGAAGCAGCAGCCTAGCTGTTTTCCCCTTCAGACATTCACTCCCATTCCTCTGCCTTCCTCCTTTCCCCACAAGTATCACTTCTGTGCAGTGCCACCATTTTTTCCCATCTGAGTGCACACACACACACACACACAAACACACATGCAACCACTGACTGCCACACATGGCAGCAGGGACCAAACTAGATCTCAAAAATAATGGTTTATTTTCTGTTTTATAAACATATGACTTCACCTGTTAACAACACGCTTCTGATGTGACCAGCTAGCACTGTTTGAGATCAGTCAAACTAAAGCAACTCTCCCTGCCACCCCTTCCACCCGTGCCATTTCTCTTTCCCCAAAACAATCTTTCAGAATCAAAAATTCCTCCTCAAGGAAAGGCCCACTCATGCCACCTCACTCCCTGCCCCTGACTCCTGGAGCCACAAAACCAGAACACTTTTCCTTGCAGCTTGTGTAGAAGATTTCTTCACGATGCTCCTGAGGAGCCTTCCCTTGGCCCATAAGCCCAAGTTGTTTTCCATAACTGAGGACTTGTCATACACAATGTTTTTCTGCCCTATCTTCCCTGTTTCTCTGGGGAGATGCCACTGCTGACACCTCTCATCCCTGTAAGATTCCCTGCAACACTATTTAAAGCAAAGCAATCTGGGCATATATACAATTCTATATAAAAATATGCAGAAAACTCTTCTCTCTTCTCCATCATGTCACCTCCAGGCCTCCCAAGTTTAGCTGCAAAAGGGCCCCTTTGGTGGGACCCACCACGTGGGACCCTGCCAGCTCTGTCCCCTGGCCTGCAGCTCTGCAGGGATGCCTCTCACCACCCCCCCCCTCCCAAACTCTTCAAACTCAAAAGCTGCTTCAAACAGTTTAAGTGGTTTAAGTTCTTAAATTGTGTTAAGGACTTTTTATCATTTTAAGCTGTTAAGCAGCTTTGAGTAAGACTGTGTGAACAGTTTTTCTCTATATACATAGCACAGTTGTGGATTTGGGCTACCTCTAGGAGTTCCATCAAACCCCAAACCTCCTGTTATTTCCCTAGCTCTCCACATGGAACTTTGCTAAAGTAAAAAACAAACATCCTTGAGGTTGTTGGAAATTCTAAATTCTAATGAAATATGAGAGAAACTGTGTAGGTTTTATTTCTCCCTTTTTTTAAACAATTCTGAAAGGTCTATTCTGGCCTCCTAAATCTACAGGTACATTTCATTGAATAGGACTGTTTTTCCTCCAGTCATGATCTAAATGATTACATGATGCTTTTAGTTTTGTCTTTATTTTTTAAAGTAAGTTTCATCATACCCCATGGAATTCCTTCCATCCTGGGAATGGATGATCTGGCTGTTAAAAGACACATTTCTGTCTATTTTATGTACAAAGAACAAAGAAAGGTACTGGATACACACAGAAGGGTTTCTGTAGCAACCTTTTCATACCAGGTTTGGGGAGCATGTTTGGTAGAAGCACAGTAGCAGAAATATTTCAGCTAATATTCTTTAACACAAGTGTCAGCTGGTAACAACTATGGAAATGCCTACTGCTCCTACTGCCATTCTCTTTGAAAGTTTGAACATGAAAGTTTGGATATTTAAAAAAAATAATTAAACCTGCAATTTTCATATCATCAGTATTTTCTGTATCACTTCTACTGCCTCTAATACTGCTGAGGCTTTTACTCAGAAACGTGCCTTTTGTTTTAGCTAAATTGTACTTTATTGATGATCGGTATTTTTATTTTAGCTAAATTACATTTTATCGACAATCAGTGCTGTGCAGAAGCACAGTACATGTTGCTTTATGAGTAGCACAGTTTCTTTAATTCTTTAGGCATCCCAGGGCAGAGTGAGCAAATTCTGGGGTTTAAATCAAGCCCTTTGCAATAAACAGACTATCAGTTCAGGTGGCAGGGAGAGAAGCACAGCCTTAGCCTGGGTGTGGGGAATAAGGTGACTACCACTTTAGCTGGCAGCATTTCCATGGAAGGGAAAATGTGGAGTACTGTGTGTCCTAAGGATTACAGATACCTTTCTCTCAGTGCACTGTTTGATGTATTATAATGACATAGGAAATTCTCCCATCACTGGAAATATCTTCTGAGAGACACAGATGGTCACCAAAGGATACAGTGAGGGGCATAGTAGGTAACTAAGCTTGCCAGTGACTCCTGTGGCATAAATTCAGAAGGATGGTGACTGACTGAGAAAATAACCTTATGCCTTTACCAAATGGACCACTTAGCCAAAAACCTATCATCTCAGAAATTATCCTGACAGACAGTGGTCTAGACCACAGTTCTTCAATCTGAATAAAAATTATCTGCATTTCTGCACTGAAAGTGGAGGTGATGCTCAGCATCCCCATGGTTAGAGAAGTGATGAAAAGATTTGTGCATGTTCAGTATGGTCATGTGCATAAAAGATACTGAATAAAGATGAATATCTCCTACTTTTTACAGGGTGAAGTAAGATAATCACAAGTGCAGGTTTTAAAAAATGTTATTTTAACTCCCTCAGATCTGCCATTGCCAGACAAAATCATTCTCTACATTTCAGATACTGGCTGTCTCTTACAATTTTGTCATTCTCTAAAGGCAGTTGCTGTCATTGTTCTTAAGCTTTACTTCTGCAACCAGATGTTAGCTGGATGCCTCTCCTTTAGCCACTCAAATTCTTGTCTCACTTTCCTGTTGCAAAGATCTCACGCATTTAACATATAAAATTATTTGCAACAAAACCCTGTTGCATAACAAGATGCCCCATTAACCTTACCACCTCAATTATTGGATCTCACAACCCATTAAAGGCTCTCTGTAAGTGTGATTAAAGATAAAAGCTAGTAAAGCAGAAAAAGCCGATGTTCCTCACTTACAGTTACAGGAGCCCAGTTTCAATTTGTAGATAAATACATCCACTGTGTGATTGCTGTAATTGACAAGTACATGCAAACCAATTGATTTAATTAAATGTATCTGTGGTCAACCTGAAGAAAAAGGGTGTCTTTTAAAACTGTATTACCAGCCAAAATATTTTTAATGCCTGTAGTTATGCCTGCTAGATCAGCACCACAATTGATAGTACTTCCCAGTGGAATTGCAATTACTTCATGCACAGTCAACTGAAAATTGAGCTCTCTGCTTGTTTTGTTTTTCAGAAACATAGTGACATAAAACATATGCTGCAGAGGACACAGCCAGGCAAGAGCTGTACTAGCATTTATAATTAGACCACTGGAAATAATTGCCAGAATAACAATACTGGTTAAGATACACCTTGTGGAGATGTCTTCTTATTAGTAAAAGCCTCATGTAGCTGTGGATATATAGACTAAAAATATGCTGCCACTAGGGGTTTATTTTACTCTTCTACTGCTACAAGCCCAAGACTTCTGGATGAATAATTAGTGACAGACTAAACTTGGCACCAGGTGCTTTGAGGTAACTGCTGATCAATTAACTCAACTGGAGTCTTCAGGATCATCAGATGTGATCAAAGCATTTTTCAAAAAAACTCTCAGGTTCCTGTTATTTCTAAAAAAGGGGATTTTTTTTTTTAATTAAAATAAGTTTTACTAAATAAAGGAACTAGGAAAAAAGGCAAAAAATCTTTCTTTTCCTCATCCTTACTGTTCGTATTTATAAAAACATTTGTAGTAAGCTTCACATCTGAACTCCTGTGTGTAGAGTCTATTCCTGTGAGCAGGCCAGTGGCTGGCACCATGGCATCATCCAGGAGTGGTCTTTTACACCTCAATAACAAATGCAGCATTTTATCTTGACTTCAGAAAAACCATCATGGGAAAATCCTGACAGATTCTTGATTTAGAGGTAGTTTCTCCTTAGTCTTCACAACTGCCCACGTTCTGACACCGTAAAACTGGGGATATTTCCAGTCTGCTATTGCTTACAGAAAAATAATATTTCAGCATTTCTGAATCCGCAGTATTATTTTAAAATTATGCAACGTTTTTCATGCTGTGCTCCTGTTCTCGTTCTGACTTGTTATGAGAACATTTTGCAGCACTACAATTGTCAAAACCAAGATATACATAATTCCTCTCATATAAAATTAATTTTCTTAATGAACATTAATCCCTAAGCCATATACAGACAGCAAAATAAATTTACTGATTTTTTTCAAATTTGGAGAGCAAGCTACATTCTTCTTTTACCTTAGGAAGGCAGTACACTCAGATTTTTGCTCACTGCAGCATAACATTTTAGGTGATGGCTGC